GAGTGTCGCGAGCGGAGTTGGCCGCCTGTGTTTCCTCGAATCGGATGTAATGTGCGGCCCTGTCGAGGAAATCTTGGAGGGACGTGGGCCGGTGTATGCCTACGGCCTCGTAGAATTTGGAGTCGTGGCGCAGACCTTGTTCCATTAAGTAGCGTTTCATTTCGTCGGAAGTTGTCACCTGCACTGCTTCCCGAGTGAACCTTTCGATGTACTTTCGGAGGGGTTCGTCGGGGCCTTGGATGATTGCCCCGAGGACTGCTTCCGTCTTCGGGTGACGTCGGGACGCCGTAAAGTGTTTGGAGAACAGGTCCTTCAAGACCCTCCACGACGTAACTGATTCGGGCTCCAGACTTTTGTACCAGGTCATAGCGCCTTTCCTCAGAGTCGTCGGGAAGAGTCTACACTTGATAGCTCCCCGGACGTTTCGGTAGTCGAGCATAGCCTCGATGTCTTCCAGGTGATCGTCCGGGTCGGAGGTGCCGTCGTATGTCGACAGCGTCGGCGGCTTCTCCATCCCCTGGGGTATGGGGGCAGCCATGATCTCCCGGGACAGCGGGGTGCGGTAATCATCCTCGTCGCTTCGCGCCGGGGATCTGCGAGGGGATGAGCCGTTCAAGGTATGTCCCTGGTTTCGGGCTCTCGATCTCCTGCCCGAGTTCTCGACTCGGGGGTCCTCGGTTGGGATCGCCGCGGTGTTCTGGCTCCTCACGCGAACGTGTCTTGCCGGGGATCTGGTGCGTTCTCGCGTCACCTGCGGGCGGTGTCTCTCCAGCCGCGGTCAGCGGTTTCTGGGTCGAGGTGAGGGACTCCTCGAACCTCCGTTCTGGTCTTCCCGCTGGGGGTACCTCGGAGGACCGATGCGCTCTAATGCTCCAATTCTAGCATTTTGTTGGAACAGCAGCTGGTTCGTCTGGTTGATGGCCGTAAAGAGAGCGGCCACCGTCGGGTCTGCTCCCGCCGGGATGGGAACGGGGTGGAATGCTGGCGGGCTCGGGGGTCCGTGATCGGCCTGGAGGGGCCGTTCCGCGGATGATGGTGAAGCAGTTTGCCCGTCCCTCTCATCGGCTTCCGTCGATCGCGTTGTTCCTGTTTGCTTCCCGTTGGTGGCGACGTTGAGTGCAAGGTCGTGCGGAGTGTCGTCGCGGTGTGGACTAGCCATGATCGTGGAGGTTTGGTGAAACTTTTGGTTCCTGCTCGGAGTAACGGGGAAGTTTCCGTTCCCACAGACGGCGCCACTGATCTGACTTGATCAGAAGGGGATCACGATATGGCCACGCGCTACTGGACGACTACCTATTCACCGGTGGTGAGAAGGAGGAGGGGGTGTACCTGCAAGACACTCCGATGCCAAAGTGAGAAGTTGGGCAGAGTGGAAGCAATAATACAGAAAAAGGGCAAGAAGAGAGTTACCTGACCCTCTTGAGGAAGAGGGTATTTATAGAGAGACCCCAGCGCTGGGCCAACGGTCATTCGAGGTGGGCTGGATGACCAGGCCCAACCCTAATGACTACTAGGGCTTACGTGGCGTAGTGAAGACCGGGACGTGGTCTTCGCCCTAGTCCAACTGCTCCTAGATCTCCTGAAAGCGGGTTTGACCTGCTCTTTCGGAGGTGGGCAGTTGGTTGAAGACGTGTCCCCGCGGAGGGGGGCACGTGGAGAACGTGCGCCGGGCACGTTGTTCTTCCCGCGGAGGGGAGCTCGGGAGGTTCCCGGAAGCAGGTTGTTCTCCCCGCGGAGAGGAGGACCCACAACCGTGCTTTGGTGAGCCGGGGATGGTTCTGCTCGTCTGGTGTGGTAGATGGTGAAAGGTTGTTGGGGAGGTCGCTTTGTGTTCGGCGATATGCCCTGCTCGTCCCGAGGGATGCACGTGCCCGGCGTGCCTGATTCGCATGTTGGGCCGTACATGGTATTGGGCCTGCCGAGGCTGGGCCCATACTGGAACAATATATATATATATATATATATATATATATATATATATATATATATATATATATATATATATATATATATATATATATATATATATATATATATATATATATATATATATATATATATATATATATTGGGATTTCATATTTGTACTTATATATCTTTAACTTTTTTAAAGCATGTTGGTCTCAAAATATTTCTTCTCAAACTTTTTAACTCCCCTTAATCTTTTGAAGTTTGAACTTCAAGTCACATGCATCTTAATTCATAGAGATAAACTCTTTAGCCATCATTTGAAACTTTTGTCTCGAACCCATCTATTGCACTCTTTAATGTCTATCAACATATCAAGACGACCATAAAAGAAATTGAAAGTAATAAAAATCTATGTCAGTTTCAGATTATCGTGGCCTAAAAATTATCATATTTAACAACATATACTTATGCTTCATACACAATCAATGAGATATGTTGTAAATCTTGAGAAGAACATGCTCAAATTACCAAAGGGGTTCATTCCATCGGTGGCAAGCTCAAGCCTAAGGCTTCTTGACTTAGTGCCAAAATCCAGAAACAACAAATCAATTTTCTTCCATTGCGAAGAATCAACTACATGACGTATGTTTCCATCACATTTCCTTTCATCTGCATGTCATCTAATATTCTGTGTCATTTGCATTAGTAAATAATATCTTGAATCTTGAAATTATTGACAAATATCATAACACTTTAGCAGGAGGAGTCTTCCTACTAACATTTCAGACATTAATCCAAATTTTTATACTTTTTCCTGTATAATATGCAGTCATTAGGGCATGCTTGTATTTTGATATACTCCAAACCTATTGGATAAAATATCTTCTTGGTATCATAACAACGATCCGACAAATTGTTATCTTTTGGTAGCATTTGTTTTAGCAAATAAAGCAATTTCGTGAAACTTTTACTCGATCACTCATTTTTTACTTTCAGATTAAACAATTTTAACACACATACAATCATGTAAAACTTGTGCACCCCTTATATAAATGGGTCTCCTTATCACTACATAAAGTGTCATAAATATGAGATTTCTTAAAAGAAGATTCTCCAATATCACGGAACACACCTTCTAGTCGGTCATCCATATATTCATCTTCATCAACTTTGTGACTTTGTGACGCCCTATTTCTCTTCTTTTCCACCTCACCATGTCGCATCCATATTATATAATTTTGACATATACCGTCACAACATAGATGATCGAATCTCATCCTTTGTACATTTATTTATATTCTGACAATTAACACAAGGACAATAAAAAATACCATTATTGTCCGAAAGATTTTGATCAGCGTATTCAAGGAATTCAAGAACTCCTTTCTCATATACCGAATCTAATCTATCAACTTTCATCCAACTACGATCCATAATAAATTTTGAAATTTATATCAAAATAATATTGTGAATGACACAACAAAATCTAAACCTAAAGCATATTTATGACAATAATACAACTTTAAATCTTAAGCATATGGATATCAATTGTAGCAAAGTTATAATATTTTTGTTCACTGCTAAATCCAACAACAAAACATAAAGCATATGAACTTTTCATGAAACAGACCACAATCAAACAAGAAAATGAATATAGTGAATATTATCAAGAATTAGGAAGAGAGTGAAGTTTGCACGAAATATATCGTACTTCGAAGAGGAAGAGATCAAGAATGAAGATAGTGAAGATTATCAAGAATGAATATTCAATGAACGAAGATTGAGAAGATGAAGATTTCGATATCGCTAACGTTGTCGCCTCTGGTTCGCTAGTTTGCTTAGGGCATGTTATGAAGAAAATAATGAATCTGTTTTGTTTTAAATTTATCAGGAAAAACCTTTTACCACGGTTGATATTTCCAACCGCGTTTAAATAGTTTTCAATTTTTTTTATTTATGAACTTAAGTTACACACATTTTTTGAAATAGAAAAAAAATAATTGCTAAGATTTGAAGTTTGTAACACTTACTTTATCACCACACTTGATTATCTAACCGTGATTAAATAACTTTCAAAAAATAAATATATCAAACACATCGAATTTACAATATTACAACGGTGGAAAGCATAATCGTAGTAATATTATATTACCGAAGGTGTATTTTGTAGTAGTGATAATTTTGAAAACTTTTTAATTTTTCTTTCTTAGATTTAATTTATGTCTCCGATTTTTTCTTGTTGTTTTTCTTAGTTTTAAATTATTTTAAAATTATTTTGTACCGAATTTGAATTACGGGACCTTTATTTTATTTTTTAAAATTGATTTCTATAGTATTATATATTTTTTATTTAAAAAATAAATAAATTTTTTTTCATAAAAGTTTAAAATTAAAATTTGATTTGAATAGTTATTTTTAAAATGTTATTTTAAGTATAATATCATTTTGATGAAACTCTTTAAATATCAAAATTTCAAAAATTCATTTAATTTCGAAGTTATTTTAAATAGTTTTTCATAAAAATAATTTTTTCGATACAATTTAAAAAAAATTACGATTTTGACTATATTTTGATCTTAAATAATATATTTATGTTATAAGATGTTGTAATATTAAAAAAAATATTTTTTTAAATCATTTTTAAAAGTATAAATAAAAAATTTATTTTTATAGTTAAAACAAACCAACAAAAATATTATATATATATATATATATATATATATATATATATATATATATATATATATATATATATATATATATATATATATATATATATATATATATATATATATATATATATATATATATATATATATATATATATATATATATATATATATATATATATATATATATATATATATATATATATATATATATATATATATATATATATATATATATATATGGATGTTGGCTTCTCAAATTCAACACAAATATTGTGAGGTGAAAAACTCTAGTTAGGTCACTCATGAAAATAACCAAGTTTTCAACACCAAAATTAACTATAAATTAGGGACATTACATATCATACATCACATATTCGCATACCTTTGATAAACAAATTTAATAGCTAGAAAATTGTCATGGCAGGTATTGTTTCAATGAGGTGCCAAGTTGCAGTGATGCTACTATTGGCTGTGGCTTTAGGAACTCATGTGAAAATAGGTGAGGCACAGAGTAGTAGTTGTCCAGTTCAGCTGACCAATCTGAATGTTTGTGCACCATTTGTTGTGCCTGGTGCATCCAACACTGACCCTAGTGCTGATTGCTGCAATGCACTTCAAGCAACCAACCGTGATTGTCTCTGTAGCACTCTCAGAATCGCTTCTCAACTTACTTCTCAGTGCAACCTTCCATCTTTTGCTTGCGGTAATTAATAATCACGTAATTTCTTCATTATTTATTGTTGCATTTTGTTCTCCTAGCTTTTTTTTTCTTCTTAATTTTATTGAATGATGTCTACTTTTCTTGATTTACAGTTCTGAATTAGAGCATGGTGATGTGATCCACGAAGAATAAAGGGTTGAGAGAAGCTATACTCGTCTAGTTTGGTGACTTTGTTTTGAATGTTTTGTGATAATAATCTTTGTTATGAAATAAAGGAAGTTGTAATATGACATATTGCATTTGCTTCATGCTCTCTATCTATATTTTTATGTTTTATTTTTTTATATATATATATTTAAGAATTGAGGTGTAGTTCTCTTTATCTTTATTTTTTTTTATAAGATGAAGGAGTGAACACCAAACTCACACAGTGGTATAAATAAAAATACAATACAACCTAACATGTCCCACCCACTATTGACTATGGAGCACTAAAAACATATTTTGAAGAATTAAAATTGTCCTGAGTCCTCCTTGATCTTAGTGACTGACCCCCACATTCTCCTAATAGACTATAGTAATATGAAAGTGTTTTTAATTATCTTATCTATATATACTTGTAGGATATGGTAACTGTTCAATAATTTATATAAATATAGATAGGGTTTTGGAAAAAGAGTATGTTGCGAAAAATATTAAATTAAATTATATTGGAGATCATAATAAAAAAAAGCAGATCATAATAAAAAAGCAGGTGAATTAGATTTGTCGATTATTGTTAAAGAAATGTGATTGGTCTAACTTAATCTTATAAAGTCGATTGATAGGGGAGGATTGTCCCCAATCATAAATACATGTTTAGATCATACATTATTCGATGTGAGATTTTTAACACACACTCTCACGCTCATGATTAGACAACTGAAGCGTAGAAATAAATGGTGGATGACCCGATAGCGAAAATCATAGTAGGTGGTCCACCGGATCTTAAACGAGACTCTTGATATCATCTTTAAAAAATGTGATTGACCTAACTTAACCTTACAAAATCGGTTAATAGGGTGAGAACGATCCCCACTTATAAACACATGTTCAGACCATACATTATAACCTAATATTACTCTTGACAATCAAAATTTACAAATGATTGTTAAATGTAATTCATTGTTTTGATTTGATTTGATATGATTAGATTTGATTTCAATATTTTGGGCCTTTTATGGTTTGGACTTTTGTAAACCTAAAACTATAAATAGGATGCCTTGCTTTGTATTCTATAACACAACAGAACAGATTTCATAGTTGCAGTTAGCAAGTGAAAGTTCAATAAGAAATCCCACAGTTGTGGGTAACACATTCTCTCAAAATATTTCTTCTCTCATTCTTCTCTTTCTTGTTTTGTTATTCTTCTTTTCTTTTCTGTTCTTGATAATTACTTGTTATTACCATTACTATCATATTGTGGATTTATTCATCAATCTTGAGATCAAGATTGAAGGGAATTCTTCATAGGGAGTGAGGGAATTTCTAACATCTGGTATCTAGAGCTCCGGTTGAGAGATTCAAGGAAGGAAGATAGTGATGGCGATGAATTATCCGAACGGAAAATTTCCGGAGACCCTGCCAATTCTCAAGAAAGACAATTATGAGAATTGGTGCAAACAGATTAAGTTGATTTTCTGTTATCAAGATCTTTGGGATCTTGTGAAGGACGGAGTAACATCGCTTGGGAGAACGCAACGGAGGCGGAAAAGGCTGCGCACAAAGAATTGAAGAAGAAGGATTATAAAGCACTCTTTATAATTCATCAGTGTGTCGATCCTGATAACTTTGAAAAGGTTAGTGATGTTGATTCAGCAAAAGAAGCATAGGAGATTCTTGAAAAGTCGTTTGGAGGCGCAGAGAAGGTGAAAGAGGTGAGGTTACAAACTCACAAGAGAACCTATGAGTTGCTTCAGATGGAAGACAACGAAAGCATTACAGATTTCTTCACCAGAGTTACAAAGTTGGTGAATCAAATCAAAGTATGTGGAGAAGCGCTAACGACGAAAGCAGTTGTCTCAAAGATTTTGAGATCGTTGGCTCCAAAATTCGACCACGTGGTAGTTGCCATAGAAGAGTCGAAAAATCTGTCAGTATTGACAAAGGAAGAGCTTCAAGGGACTCTTGAGTCTCATGAACAGAGGATGGCTGAGAGAGCTGCAGGAAAGTCGAAAGATATGGCTTTGCAGGCACAGTCAGAAAAGGAAAGAAAAGGCAAAGGTAACTGGAATGGCAACAAAGGAGGAAACCAGTCGAATCAGAAGAAACCTTCGAACCAAGGCAAACAAAGAGGTGATGCTGCAGGTAAAGGAAGAGGTGGTGGTCGAAAGACAGACAAAAGCCACATTCAGTGTTTCAATTGCCAGAAGTATGGTCATTATGCTAGTGATTGTCCAGAAAGGAAGAAAAATCAAGAGACTGTGCAAAGCTGGCGAAACATGAAGAAGAAGAAACGTTGCTAATGGTCACAACAAGAGATGAAGAAAGATTCCAAGATCAGTGGTACTTGGACTCAGGATGCTCATCACATATGACTGGAAGGAAAGATTGGTTTGTTAACATGAAGCCCTCGTCGAAGAACACAATGAAGTTTGCAAATGACAACACTCTAGCAGCCGAAGGTGTTGGTGATGTTCTGATTATGAGGAAAGATGGCAAAAGGTCAACAATTTCCAATGTGTTGTACATACCAGGCATGAAGAGTAATTTGCTCAGTATAGGGCAGCTTGTCGAAAAGAACTACAAGGTAGTCGTCGAAGACAAGATGATGAGAGTTCTCGACGCAGGTGGTAGATTAATCTTGAAGGCTCCAATGTCTCAGAATAGAACCTTCAAGATTGGACTCAATGTGATGGAGCACAGATGTCTAGCAACTGCAGCCAGCAGAGATGAGTGGTTATGGCATTTTCGACTAGGTCATCTCAACTTTAATGACATCAGAGAACTGAAGAGAAGAAATATGGTTTCAGGATTACCAGAAATCGACATTCCAAGTGAAGTCTGTGAGGAGTGTGTTCAGTCGAAACAACACAAGAATAGCTTCAGGAAGGATGCAAGAAGGAAGTCGAAGGCAATACTTGAAGTCATATACTCTGATGTATGTGGTCCAATCCAGGTGGATTCGATTGGTGGCAATAGATACTTTGTCACATTTATAGATGATTACAGTCGAAAGCTGTGGACTTACCTCATCAAGAAGAAAAGTGATGTGAGTGAGGTATTTTCCAGATTCAATTCCATGGTCGAAAGGCAGAGTGGTCGAAAGCTGAAAATTCTGAGGACTGATGGTGGTGGAGAGTATGTGTCGAAAGAGTTTGATACACTATGTGTAAAAAAAGGGATTCTGCATGAGGTGGTGCCACCTTACACTCCACAGCAAAATGGGATTACAGAACGCAAGAACAGAACCATCATGAATATGGTGAGAAGTATGTTGAATGGAAAGCATCTACCTAAAGAATTATGGGGAGAAGCAGTTTCGACAACAACATATATATTGAATAGATGTCCGACGAAGAAGCTTGAAGGAATCACACCAGAAGAATGTTGGTCTGGTGTCAAGCCTAGTCTCAGCCACTTGAAGGTGTTTGGATCTATAGCACATAGACATGTGACAGATCAGTTGAGAAGGAAGCTTGATGATAAGTCGAATCAGATGATCTTGATAGGATATCATTTGACAGGAGGTTATAAGTTGTTCGACCCAGTGAATAAGCAGGTAGTGATCAGCAGGGACGTGATCATAGATGATCTTAAAGAATGGGATTGGACTGAGAATGACAAGAAGGATTCAGTGAGAATCTCTTGTGAAGAACCAGCCACTGAAGTCGAAATAGAAGTTCGATAGGAACCAGTTGCAGATGAAGCAGGTTCAAGCAGACCTCGACGAACAAGACACATGCCTGCAAGGTTGCAAGAATGTGTAATTACATCAGATGATGTAGTCAATGAAGAGGGTGAGTTGGTACATTATGCTTTTTACGCAGATGTCGAACCAGTCAATGCAGCTGAGGCATTGAAAGATTCGAAGTGGATGAAAGCAATGACTGAAAAGTTGGAGTCTATCAAAGTCAATGATACCTGGTCACTTGTCGAATTGCCACAAGGCAAGAAGGCAATTGATGTGAAGTGGGTTTACAAGGTAAAGGTAAAGCCTAAAGGAGAAGTAACTCGACACAAGGCGAGACTTGTGGCGAAAGGATTTCTTCAAAAGGAAGGAATCGACTTCGATGAAGTTTTCGCACCTGTTGCTAGAATCGAAACAATCAGGTTGGTTGTTGGCCTAGCAAATATGAACAACTGGCACACATGTCAGATGGACGTGAAGTGTGCATTCCTTAATGGCCCCTTAGACGAAGAAGTTTATGTTGCACAACCAGCTGGGTTTGTGAAACAAGGTGAAGAAAGAAAGGTGTACAGGCTTCATAAAGCCCTGTATGGACTTAAGCAAGCTCCAAGAGCTTGGAATAAGAAAATTGACAGCTTCTTAAGGGAGAAGGAATTTGTGAAGTGTACAACTGAGCATGGAGTATATGTAAGAAGAAGCAATGGCGAATTGCTTATACTATGTCTCTATGTTGATGATTTGTTGATAACAGGGAGTTGCAAGAAAGAGATCGAAGATTTCAAACATGACCTAAGTGAGGAGTTTGAAATGTCAGACTTGGGAAATCTCTCATATTTCCTTGGCATCGAATTCTACAAGACAAGTAGAGGTTTGATGATGCACCAAAGAAGATATGCAGGCGAAATACTCAAGAGATTTAAGATGCAAGATTGCAACCAAACTTCGACTCCAGCTGAGCCCAGATTGCAACTGTCGAAGGATTCAGATGAAGATGATGTCGACCTAACCCAATTCAGAAGACTTATTGGGTCACTTAGATACCTTTGTCACACAAGGCCTGACTTAGCATACAGTGTTGGTATGGTAAGTAGATTCATGCAGAAGCCAAAGGTATCACACCTAGCAGCGGCGAAGAGGATACTGAGGTATCTGAAAGGAACTCTCGACTATGGTATTTTGTTTCCAACAGCTGATGAAGGAAAAGAATGCAAGTTAGTGGGATACACAGACTCCAGTTGGTGTAGTGATGCTGAGGATCGAAAATCCACAGCTGG